TAATATACAATAGACACTCATATTTTTATATTATTTACACAATTCTCTATACATCATATAAAAAAAAAAAAAAATTAAACTAAAACACAAAACAAACACACCTCATTTTTCGACATGGTTAGTATAATAATTTTATTTAAAATATTATATTAAATCACTATATTATCTTTAAAAATAATAATAAAACTACACCATACACATATTTCTTATTTAATATATTATATATAATTAGCTTTTTTTAGTTTAAAATATTATAGTATATATTTATTTATATTGTACAGTATGAAATAAATATCAAATTCATTTATTTTTTATTGTTTTAAAAACATATAAAAATACAAAACACAGCCAAACAATGGTAAGTTGTATAATACTGTACATTGTAGTTGAATCTACATTGGAAAATGACCAGAAATGAAGAAGTGCTTCACTGGTCACATACCACTCATTCTTTAGTCAACCTTAAAGTTATAACTGTTTATACACAGTTTAAAAAAAACTTTGACATTGTTAATAAATGTTTATTTTTTAAAAATATACATATTTTAATATTTTGTCATCATAAAAAATAGTGATGTTTTTAATTTTAAAAATTCTCCAAATTTATATATATATATTTACAAATATATAAATTCGAAACATAAATTATATAAAGTGAAATATTTGTAATATATTGAGCTTGTTCCTTTTTTTTTTTTTTTTAACTTTATCATAAAAAAGACTTGTATATTTCTTTCTTATTAAATATTAAAAAAATTATAAAAAGAATTTGATCCAAAATACTTTTACCATGTCTAATAACTAATAATATATATATATATTGTTCAAATATTATATATTTCATGTTCCAGTTTAATGTATTATTTTTAAAATTTTCGTCCATCATATTCAAAAACTTTAATTTTTAATCATATTAAATAGATACAAAAAATACAGCTATTCTTTACAAAAATAATCACTTTATTTATTATTTCAAATGAAAAAAAAATATATATCAAAATAATTTTACATATTTTAATTAATTAATAAAATATTATTATTTTTTAAAGGCTACATGAGTACTCCCTCCATCTCAATACAATAGTTTTATTTACCATTTTTCTCTATCTCAAAACAATAATCTAATTTCCATAAATAACCATATCACTATAAAATTATTCTTACTTTTTCATTATTATTACACAATTGTCACTACTTTTTACACTAATACACTCACAAGGGCAAAAAATCTTTTACTCGCACCTTTTACCCACTAGCAATATAATATTAATATTTCTTAAATCTCGTGTCAAGCATAACCCATATCATAGTTATTGGACGGAGGGAGTATAAAATATTGTTCAAACAAATAACTCAAACAACGTACTAGTAACCAATCAATACAAAGTGACTTTGAAGTCATAAGTTCAAACTTTGAATATTTTCGAGTTTTGTCTCTTACATATATATATATATAGTTTATCTAATGTGATTTGACTTGTCATATTTAATTTGCATGCTATTGGGTTTGCTCAAAAGGATACTCAGATTGCATTAGAAGAGTAATTACTGCGAATTCTACATCATAAAAAATAATAAGTAAATAAATAAATAAAACAAAACAAATCAAAATAATATGATAATGTCTATTCTCTAACAATCTTAAGTACATATTGGGTATGTTTGTTTGGGAGATTTTGTAGGATTTCTACTATTCCCACAAAATTTTCCCTCCAAAAATATCAAATCAAACATTTATTTTTCATTTTTTATATTATCCTAAAAATCAATTTTACATTCAAAACATCACATCAATTCTTATTTATATCACATCATACAACTATTCAAATTCAAAATTTTTACTATTCAAATCCCAACCCAAAATCCAAACCCTCAAACAAACACACCCATTATAAATTAGCGTGGCTTATAATCCAAACAATACCCTGAATTAGGTGCGGAAAATAATAAAGTTACAAATACATTTGTTTACAATATAAATACTTAATGATTAATTATAATATAATTATATTTATAATGCAAATATATATATGGGTATATTGTGTTTCTGAATTAATATGTTTCTTTTGTACGTTATTTGTTAATTACGAGAAATTGTATTGAAATAAAAAAAAATATATAACATATGTTATCCAATTTATGTCCTTTTATTTGTCATAAAAAATTTATTTTTATTTTATTTTTAATAAAAGAATACGTTCGAGTCATGTATCCCATGGGGTGTGTTTGTTTGTAGGATTGGATTGGATTTACACTATTTATCCATTTTTTTTTTCCCAAAAACATCAAATTAAACATCTATTTTTCATTTTTTATATTATACTAAAAATCAATTTTACATTCAAAACATCACATCAACGCTTATTTATATCACATCATACAACTATTCAAATTCAAAATTTTTACTATCCAAATCTCAACTCAAAATCCAAACCGCCGAACAAACACACCCATATAATATTGACATTTTTATCCATCCAACTCAATTGTATTCAATTTTCATTTTATTTTATTAAAAAATACTCATGTTTATTTTAATGATCTTATATATTACGTTATATCAATTAAATTTATGTTATTTACTGTAGGTTTTCTGTTTACTATCAATAAATATTCTTATATTGATTGAAAATTAATATTCGCTCTATCCAAGAACTATACTCTTGTTGCGCTTGATACGAAATTTAAAAAATATTGATATTATATTAATAGTAGATAAAAAGTACGAGTAAAATATTTTTTTGCCCTTGTGAATGTATTAGTGTAAAAAATAGTGACAATTGTGTAATAATAATGAAAAAATAAAGATAGTTTTACAGTAATATAATTATTTATGAAAATGAAACTATTATTTTGAGATTGACAAAAATAATAAACTGAACTATTGTATTGGGACGAATAGGACATTAGTTTTATTGATATTATAGGATTCATATTTATTAAATATATATTATTTGAGTATCCTAAACAACAAAATAATATTGAGTGTGTTAATACAATTTTTTAAAAATATCTTTTAATTAATATTATAATAAAATAATAGATACATATTATCTATTAAAAAAATTATTAAGAATTTAATGTAAAATATTGTTTTTTTATAGTAACAATATATATTCTTTCTTTATTTTTGAAAAATTAAATAAGTAAATAAACAAAACCACTGACTATTGTGACTTGACCCACAAAAAGTGCCTAAAATTAGTAATGGTTCATTGGTGACGTGATGATTACGTATTGGCCCACCCAAAACAGGATTTGTGAAAGACTTGACAACACAACTCACCTAATCCCCAATTATATTGGATCAATGTGCTTTAGCCTTTATGTCCATACATACAACTATATGGATCTTTTTTATTAAAATCTTGAATAAAAAATTAAATTACTTTCGAATAATTATGTCACTTATTTATTTTCTAATTGTCGATTAAACTTATGTCTAGTTCATTTCTAGTATATATTATTCTTGATTTAAAATTTTATTATCAATTTGGCACTATTTTTTTCACTTATTCCTCATTATTATTAATTTTTATAATAATTTTTTTATTACCTCCGTCTTAATAAGAATGGTACTTATAAAAAACTTGAAGTACTTTTTCCGTCCCACATAATTTGTCTCTATTTTTTATTTTCGTCCGTCCTATATAATTTGTCTTTTCTTTTTTCGAAAAATTAATTATACATTTTAATCATATTTTAAAATTTAAAATTTAATTTTTTTAAATCTTAATTAAACTATTTTTTATCTTAATCTTAATCTATAATTATTTTTACTAAATAATAATTATTTTTACTAATATACTTCTTAATTATTTACTAATTATATTTTACCTAAATTATTGTGTCTACGGTAATACACTCATATTACATGGAATGGAGAAAGTAAATGATTATTTTAATTTTTTTCAATTTTAAAATTAATACGGTTCATATGATACAATTTTCAATAAGAATAAATTAATTTTATTTTTATAAAATATTACATTAAATATTATTTTATATTGAATATTTATTATTATTATTATTTTACTTTTTTTTGTAATTAGTATTTAATTTTTTCTAAATATTTATTTGATTTTTACAAAAAATATAAAATATTTTGTATCATTTATTTATTATTTTTTGAAAATCGAAATTTAAATTTTGATTTGGATGAACAAAGCCTATACTTACATTCAAAATTCATTTACGTCAAACAAAAAATATATTTGACTTCAAATGTTTCTATGATAATATTTAAACAAGCTCTGCCTCAAACTATATAAAAACTTTGGAAAGGAATAAATTTTAACAATAATAAAGAAATAGATACTTATACGATATTTTATAAAAATCAATAAATATTTAATATAATTACTTTTGATTAATATTATTAGTGCATATTAAATGGAGCATTATTTTTGACTTTAGGGAAAAAATAAACAAAACATGTGGGACTAAGGTGCACGCTGTCTCCATTGCTTTATCATTTCATTTCCCTCTCATATTTCTTGCAACATACATATAATTTAGACAAAATTCAATTAAATTAAATATACTTTATCCGTCCCTCGCGAAAGATGATTTTTTTTGTCATATACACTATATTTTAGGTAGTATAGGTTATTAAATTACTAATAATAATTTACTCTAATATTTTACTATTTTTTATATAGGGCAGTGTTGTTGATATTTTAAATATTTTTAAAATTATATCTACAATATAACTATTATTTTGTAGACAATAAAATTTTATATAATACAAATGAATAAAAAAACTATTTATTTATTTATTATTATCATAAATTAATTTTATAAAAAATCAAAAATAGATAAAAATATTTGTTAATTGAGAAGAAAAATAAAAATAAAAAAATTTTGAGTGATTGTACGTATAAAATGTTAAAAGCTTAATTAAATTAATTTATATTTGTAAAATATATTTAAAATTGATAAACTTATAAATATGAAAAAATGTCATTTTTTGTGCTGCGTACCAAAAGGAAATAAGGTCATGCGGGACGAGGGAGTATTATTTTTCCAACAACAAGAAAAATAAATAAGTAAAATGAGATACCAAAATTGACCTAAAATCCCAAAACTACCCCTAACAACGCCGTAATTCCGTACACCCAAACGCCGTTACAACCGACTCTCCAACTACCACTCTCCGGCGCCGGCGAAGTCGCCGGCGCGCTACCGTTCTTATCGCCTGAACTCGAACTAATCAATCGCAAAGTACCTGTCGATTTTAGATTCTCAGGAGAGAAATCGTGCTTCGCCGGAACGCCATTCGCCACCGACGCTCCGACCTGCCATACCTGGCTCACCGACGCTCCGGCCGACGGCAATGCGAGCGTCGCGAAAATCCTCATCGTTCCGTTCGAAGACTCGGCGCGTTTGTTGAGGACGTTGTATCGGATCTTCGATTCGGCGATTGGACCGTACGAGGAGATATTGTACGTCTTCACAACAATCGATCCGTTCGTATCTCGGAAGGCTATGAGAGCTTGAGAGCCGACCATACCTGCGGCGGTCGGATTGAGCGCCCAAGCGATCCAGCCGTCAGGCTTCGCCGGAGGTGCGACGAAGGCGATTGCGAGAGTCGGATCCGGCCGAGCGGACGGATCGTAAGTCCAGTGGAGTGAAGCTTTGAGCGTCGGTAGATCTTCGCAGTTCGCGAAGGAAGCGTTGTGGTTGGAGAATATCTGCGATTTGCAGGTTTGAGCTGCCGCCGGCGAGAATATCATCGCGACGGCGACGGCGAGGATGAGAGAAGATGCCATCGGCGATGGGGGCGTGGGTGTGAGGAGCGGCGGTTATTGAGGAGGGGTTTTATATAGAGATTTTGTGGGGCGAGTTGAGTCTCCGTGGTGACTCAGTGAGTCAGGAGCGATTTACCGTTTTGTACTGTGCTTGACTTAGTGGGGAGTGAGTGAATCCCAATCTGGTTGCACACAGTAATTAACTTAGACGTTACAACTCAATAATTTTCAATAAATTAATCAAATTTCCTTTTTCAAATATATAACTTTTTGCTTGTTAGCTAATTATTCCCGCGTCCCAAACACCATGTTTACGTTGTCGTTTCTGTCTGTCCCACATACCATATTATTTTTTTTTTTTGGAAAATGATTACACACTTTAATCTCATTTTGAATTTTTAAATTTTAATTAAACTAATTAGTTATCTTAATCTTAATTTATAATTATTTATATGATAAATAATTATTTTCACTAATACATTCTTAATTATCTACTAATTACACCCCTCCTAAAATACAGTGTCTACAGTGTAGCAGGTATCTGAAACGGAAGGAATATTTTTTTGTTGTTATCATGCTTCCCGATTCTAGACAATATATATACATATTATATTTTTTTCGTTTTAATTTAAAATATTTTTATATTTATTTATTTTTTTAATAAAAATAATATATTAATATCAAAATATTTTTATTTTATTTTTAAAAATTACAAATATAATTATTTTATATATGAAGTTAAAGAAATGACAAAATCTCTTATATATTTGCAGTAATCATTAAAATATTATCAAGTTTTAATTTTCTACAAAATTTAGCAAGAATAGATTCAAAAGGAACATAAAAAGTATTATTCATTATTTTATTTTATGATTTTTTTAATGGCAAATTTTTTTAGTAATATAATTTTTAATATATATTTATTATTTTATATAAAAATAATATTTAATAAAAATATTATATTTTATATTAACGAATTAGACTTAGGGTTGAAGGTTTATAGATCTTAAATTAATACACTAAATAAACAATGCTTCAATATTATACTTTGTATATTTTTGACAATATAATCTTAAGAAAATTAAATATAAAAATTTAAAATTTAAAAATTGTTTATCTAGTATAGTATAATTTATGTATTTTGTTTGTTATGTATTGAATAATTGTAAAAATATTATAAAAGTAATATTTTATATTTTATATTATTTTATTTTTATGTATTTTTATTATTATATGTATGTATTGTATGTATTTTGTGAATAGTGAACAATGAAAATAATATATAAACACATTTGTATATATATTTTATACTGTCTTGTCTACAAAATTTATATTTATTTGATTTGAACATAAATTCTATTAAATATATTATTATATTTTTTAATGAGATATAAAGTAAAAAAAAGGTTAAATTGTACAAAATTCATTTGGTTTCATAAATTTGCACCAAATCCCCCGTACTTCTAAAATTGCATTAAACTCCTTCGTAGTTTCATAAACTTTACGTTTAACTCCCTCAACGGTCCTTATTTAACTGCATTTGACCTAAATGCACTCAAACTGCGAATAAATTTTAAAATCTCAATTTTTAAACCTCTAAAATTACAAATATATTTATTTTTTTATATATTTGAGTGCATTTAGGTCAAATGCCGTTAAATAAGGACCGGTGAAGGGGTTAGACGCAAAGTTTATGAAACCACGAGGAAATTTGATGCAGTATGAGAATTTGGTGCAATTTCATAAAACGGTGGATTTTGTGCAATATAACCTAAAAATAGTTTTAAAAAATATAAATAAGTTGATGAAGTGAAAAAAAAAAAATAATTGATAAATTGAATGTATAAGATAAGTAATAGTAATATATATGTAAATAAGTTTACTATTGTAACAATGGTATAAATTTAAAAATATAAAAAAAGTTATTGTACAAAAATTGAATAAACAAATAAATAAAAATTGAAATGGGAATTAAATAATAATTCTATTATCATTAATTTTAAAAAATTTCTAGAACTCTATAACTAGTCATAAGATCGTGTGACCTTGTCCGTAAATTTGGGTGTCGAGACATACGCGGGCCCAGTTGACGTGGTTGAAAGCGAGCAAATCATCAAATGACACGTGGTATGGAGTTGACCTGGCGAGAGAGAATTTCAACGAGGGCAAATTAGTCATTGTGTTTTTTATCGTAAGTGACAGTGGGGGCAGTGAGAACGTGATCACTGTCGAAATTGACGGCACGTGCGCCGTGCGTGGCATTTGTCTCCGACGAAAAAGTCAATACTCCATAGTCCGTTTACTATATTTTAATCCTCTTTAATTTAAAATAATATCTATATATCTAATAATACTCTGTGAAGTAATACCTATTTAACATACAACATTTATTTATTTATTTAAAAAATATGTACAAAATCAAATATATTTATTGCAAGTATGTGCAGCGATATTCGAAATTGAGAGCAAACTTTAGTTGACTCTCTGTGTTCAGACTTACATTTGAATTTGGTGATGATTACTGCTGAGTGCTGACCACCATGGAAGGTTTGTTTGCTTATATTTTATAAATTTTTATTTTCACTCGTGTATATTTATTATATTATATATTTATTAATATCATATAAAATGCTTACTAAAATTCAAATTTTATTATTTGTAAAATACACCAAAACACACACACTACTACCATTGTTATAAATTGTGAGTAGAGATTAAAAAGAAGAAAGATTAATTGTAAAATAACAGAAAATAAAAATAAATAAATTACTTAACGACTATTCACATAAAAAAAAAAAAACAATGTCTTTGAATTTTGGATGATAAATATAGCTATTGAAATAATATTTTAAATATAAAATAAAAATTTGACATAATATATAAATATAAAAATAAATATTTAATTTGATATTAATTTATTTTAAAAAATAATACTCTCTCCTGCCAGGTGAAAGAGTAGCGTTTGTTTTTTGCATGTAAATTTTTGAATATTAATATTATATTGAATTGTAGTAAAAAAAGACAAAAATACTCATATTAGTATAGTATAATATAAAAGTAATGATATTTGTGTAATATATTGTAAATTTGAAGAATATTTATTATGTTACGTGTACAAATACTAAATTAAGAAATGGTAACTTTATTTTGGGATAAACAAAAATAAAAAATAACAACCTAACGAGACTGAGAGAATATAAATCTTTCAAAATCCCTCAAATACAAGCATATTAACTAAACTGAAAAAAACAGTGAAGAGAGCCTTACTTACTTCATGTGTACGTAAGGCTTGCGTCGTTGTACTGTTAGCATTTTATTGGGCCACGAGTATTATATTATGACTGGGCCTTAGAGGAATTAAATTGATGGGCCCAAATTTTTAATTGGCCCATAAAAAAATATCATTATTTGTGGGGAATATCAAAATTTAAACTGGACGGAACCCTAGCCGAGGTTCCGATAGTTTCTTGGTAGAGCTTTGCGCCGCCGCGCAGGAGTCGGAGCCGCCGCGTCGACACTAGGTTCGAAGCCATTCCCGAGCTCTCTGATTGTTCCTGGTGTTTTTGAATATTCTGAACTAACGATGAACTGTTTTTCATAGCTTCATTGTTACATTCAGTTTTCCTTCAATGTGGAATGATATTTGATTTTACTTATTGATTTAATATGACGCGAACGTTCTGCATGGTTTGGCTGGTTCACCGAGAGAAATGGAAGGTGTTTTTGTTGTTGTTGGTTTTCTTTCGTTCTGTTTCAATCGCGTGAAGAATTTCCTTTTTATGAGCTATTTTAACGCTGAATATTGCGAATGGATGTGTTTTTTCGACCTTGTTGCTGCTGTTGTCCAATGCTTTGGCCTCGTTTAGTATGATGTAGTTTATAATGCGCCGCCAAACGGTTACTACCGAACTAGCACGGATTAATTTGGCATCTAAACAAATAACTGTACTGCATTATTGATTAGTTGCAATCCTCGCGATATGTGTGTTTTAACTTGTTAACGAGGTGAAGGATTTTGCTGCAGAAGCCATGGCTGTTCCGTTGTTAGACAAGAAGATTGTGAAGAAGCGCGTGAAAAAGTTTAAGAGGCATCAGAGTGATCGCTTTGTTTCCGTGAAGGTTATTTTGTGCACAATTTTAGTTATCTGATGCACAACTATTACACCACCAACATTCACTATTCTCCATCAAAGAAATGTTGCAATCTCCATCTTTAGATGCTTAGACTACTTTAATGCGGTTTCTTGTCTTAGTTGATAGTGTCAACTTGAGCATGTTGTGTGTTTGACATTATATTTTGTATTATTTGGACGTCATCAAGAATTTGAAGGACCTATGAAATCAAATCTACTCTACATTATATTCATTTGATGCACTGTAATACGTGCGTAATACAATCAATATGTATTGTAAATGTAAGTGTGTGGTTGTGTTTTGGTATTTGGATTATTTCCAGAACAGCAAAAGTTTGAATAGAAAGTCAGTTGTAGATAAATCATTTGAATCAAATATATGTTTAATTTTATGTTTTTACAGTAACTATATATTATTGTAGAATGAACAAAAGATTCATTTGTATCTATCTTTTCTTTTAATGCATCACATGCTAAGCTGTATAGTCTCAACGCCGCAGCCCAACTGGCGCCGGCCTAAGGGCATCGACTCCTGTGTGAGAAGAAAGTTCAAAGGACGCACCTTGATGCCCAACATAGGCTACGGATCAGACAAGAAGACCCGCCACTACCTTCCCAATGGATTTAAGAAGTTTCTTGTGCACAACATCGAAGAACTCCAACTTTTGATGATGCACAACAGGTTCTCTACTCCCCTTTCCATAATAACATCCTACACCATCTTTTGTTCGAAATTGTCTTTTTTATGCTGCAAATTGGGTCTTGGCTGAGCTGATTGCATGTAATGAACAGGACATACTGCGCAGAGATTGCACACAATGTCTCAACCAAGAAAAGAAATGAAATTGTCGAACGTGCAGCTCAGTTAGACATTGCTGTGACCAACAAATTAGCTCGGCTGCGTTACCAGGAGGACGAGTAAGCTCTCGCCTACTCTTGTTACTTTCGCCTTCCGAGTTTTGGGTTTTACATTACAATATTTCGACCAAAATGTTATATACTCCCTCCATCCCACAATAAGGCTGTGATGACCTTTCTGCGTGTTGATATTTGAATATTAATTATTATATCAATACGCAGTAGAAATAAAGAGAAAAAGACAAAAATACGTTTATTAGTCTCTTATAATACAAATACAATGATATTTATCGAGTAAATTATTCAAATATAAGGATATTTTTTTATGTTAAGTAGAATGACGCAAAAATCAAATAGCAACTTTCTTGCGGGACGGACGGAGTATGTGTTTTTTTAGTGTTTCGAGGATAATTGTGAATCTTGTAGTTTTTATTGCATTTCTATAGCATTTACATTATGTTTATTTGCCTTAGCTGATGATTTAATAAGACGACTTTCTTTTCTTTTCTTTTCTTTTTTTTTATTTTTTAAATATATTTATTTTGTCATTTTAGTTCCTTGTATTCTTTGTATCTATGTATGTTCACTTTTAATTTTGTAAAATTTCTATGAAAAAAAATAAATAAATAAAAGAAAAAGGTAAACGAGTCGACGGAGGGAGTAATTTCTCTCATGGTGTGGTCGAATTTGTTTGGGAGGATGGTCTTTCTTATGGGATATGTTAATAACAATAAAATTTGAATTGAAATAATATTATTTTAATTTTTTTTTAAAAAAATCTTATTTAAAATATTGTACTATTTATTTTATTTTAATAATGAATATCACTCAAAGTAGCAAATTACAGACAAACAAAGGGGAATTCATTTTGCATTTCAAAATCAAACAATCGCTGTACGATCTATTACAAACAATTATAGAGTAGTTAGATATTTTGCTGTAATAAAATTAATTAGGGGTGCCAGGTGGGGGTGGGGTGTGAATGCCGATGTTCGTTAGTTTTTAATTCCGATGGGCTATAGTTGGAGTCTGTAGCATAATATTTGCGATAAATGATTTTAAATCAAATAGGTAAAATTGCTTATAACTCCCCCGTGGTTTTGTGGTTTCGTGGTTTCGAAATTCAGCGTAAAATCTCTTTATACTTTAAAAATTGCATGGTACCCCTTTATACTTTAAAAAACGTTTGCATGAAACTCCACCACTACGAAACTTTCCTCGTGTGATAAGAAAATGATTTCTTAAAGTAAAATGGAAATTTATGCTTGGTTTCATGCAATATTTTTTTAAAGTATAAAGAGATGTCATGCAATTTTTAAAGTAGAAAAGGAATTTACGCTGAGTTTCGAAATCACAAGGAAATTATGGACAATTTTGCCAATCAAATAGCAGTACTTATGATTTGGTTATATTTTGTTTTAGTTTATCATTATTTACTTTTTTTAAAAAAATATATATAAATATTACATTTAATATTACTTGCTTTTATTCAAGAAATTTATATTAAATACTAAAATTTTATTTAAAGTTCTACTATATAACAATTTTCTTAATAAATACTACAAAAATTTACCAAATAGAAAAATATTGTTTAATAGGTAACAGACTAAAATGGAAATAATAACATTTGTAATTTTATTTATAATAATTTTTTTTTTAAAAAAATGATTTATATAGGAAATCAAACAAATCTTCAACAATTTTAAAATTTAGGATTTGTTTTTTTTCTTCAAATTACAAATTTTTATTATTTAAAATATATATTTTTTTTTTCAAAAAATATTTTATCATATATTATTTTAATATCAAATTCAAATTATTTTTTTTTTAAAACTCATCAAAGAAACATAGTATGGTTGAACATATTTTAACAAATTTGTTTAAATATATTTTAAAAAGTATTATAATAAAAATTATCAAGAAAATTAATTTGATAGTAAAAGTTAACAATGACAGATGTTTTTAATTCATTCAATATATCTATGCCATCTACGAATAAGTTATACAATAACAAATTTGCTTAAAATCATACACTAATATAGTTTCAATTTAATTACAAACATCAAGTGTTTTTTATTTTTTTTTTTTACATTTTACAAAATTTCTATTATTTTCAGTTTTTCAAAAATATTAAATTAAAATTTTATTTTTATTTTTATCTTTTATATTATAATAAATATTAATTTTAAATTCAAATAATTTATTTATTTATATCACATAATACAACTATTTTAATTTAAAATTTAATTAAAAAAAAAAAAACTCCAAACCACAACACAAACAAATGAACAATGGAGTCCTCTCCTCCCTTGTCGACTCCTTCCTGCCTGGTTTTAATATTTTATATTTCCTACTTTATCCAATAATCCAAATTCTATTTTAATTATTTTTAAAAATAAAATAAAATAAAAAAATAGCCATACAAACTCTGGAGGCCTCTGCTCCCTTGTCGTCAAAGCTTTTTCTCTCAGCACAAATCCATGGCGGACACTCTTCCATAGTTCTCCACCTCAAACCCAACCTCCAATGGAATCCGTCGCACGACGTCGTTTGGATATCCTTTGCTCCCACCTTGGCCCGCTCGCGGAAGCATCGCAGTCCACTCGCCTTTTGGTCCATTCCCGCGCTTCTTCTTCCGATGGCGGTGGAGAGAAGGAAGCAAGTGCGGAGGATAATGGAATGGATTGCGTGTTTTGCAAGATTATCCGTAGAGAATCCCCTGCTTTGAAGGTACTTATTTATTGGAATTTTCTATTCATTTGGTTCGCATAATTCTGCTGTTGATTTTGGTATTTGGATAATTGTTTACGTTTTCCGAAGGTTTTGATTGCTTGCTTTCATTTTGAGATGCTTTTGAGGACGATTTTATTGCTCGCAGTATCGTTTCTTCGTTGAATTAGTTTCTTCAAAACGAGAAGTTAGAAGTGATGATGTTGTTTGAGAATGGTTGATAATTGGAACAATTGTCACAAATTATGTATAGAATTATTGTTCTGTAATTCTGAATAGAGTTCAAAAGTTTGAAGATAGTTATACTCGCCACTTGAGTTTGCTCTTGGCTTAGATCATGATAAAAAAACCTCATCACATAAGCTCCATGGATTGCCAAATGGCAGAGGTTGAGCTACTAGGTTCATGTTATTTAACCATGTCTGGTTGTGCACTTTTTGAAGTGAATTCAATAGAATCAATAAGATAGTTTTGAACCAATTGTTTTGTCAGAGTTTTCGCGGTTCGATCGTTCTGCTATTGATTTATAATGATTTTGGGAATCATACATCTTCCACTCTACTTCACACTTTCGACGAATTAACAAGTCTATTATCATTCTTAGTTTTGGATTTCTTGCAGCTCTTTGTGCTAGTTTTGTGTAACAAGGCCTCTATTCTTCTACAAAATATCACGTCAAAAATCTTCAAACCAAAACACAAAACCATGTCGTAAGGATACTTTTCTATTGTGGTATTTTGTTGATGCTTTGTATGGTTGCTCTAAACTCAGGGATTTTGTTTTTATATATATATATATATATATATATATTTGCGGAAATTTTAAAAAATGTAGCAATTTTTTATTTTAGTTTCACAATCTAAAGTTGGTCTTTAAAGTTTGCCTATTTTAAAGAATTTTGGCCTTGCTACACACAAAATGACTGTTAATTTGCTTTTAAATTCATTCCTTGTATCATTTGAACTAGAATAATTGTGGGAACAACTTTGAGAGTATATATTGCCTGTAAGTGGACTGGGAAATCGGAGGGGTGAAGTAGTCGAGGCAAATATTTACTCTCAAAATAGACGAGTTCTCGATGGAAATAAAACACATCAAATGTAATTGAGTCTGGTAACCAATACTTTGGTTCAAGCAAATATTGTAGAAGGGGCTTAAAACAAGCATATCAAGAATGAGTTCACTCAAATTACTCCGACATACTTACAGTTCTTTGTCCCGCTGTGGTTCTTCCCCGATCAGCGCCTTAGTCTTTAATCTTAGCTAAGGAGGGATTAGTACTGTCTTTAAAGTTGAGAACTTGTTTGCAATTTTTGTATCCAGGATGTCTGATTAATCGAGACTTTTGATTTAAATGCAGATATACGAAGACAATGAATGTATCTGCATTTTGGACAAGTACCCTCTGTGTTATGGGTAAGGTATCATCTTTTATTGCCTCTTACGACTTTCCCTTTTATTTACCAATTGTTGGAATTTGTTTGTCTGTAATTTCCAATTGACATAATTTCTTGTAGGCATTCTCTTATTATACCAAAGGACCATTTCCCTTCATTGGACGCGACTCCTCCATCGGTATTAAACCCGTAAATAAATTGTTTCTTCATCATGTTCCATTACATAGATCTGTTAATTGATGATATTCTGTATGGTTGATTGTTGTTTTAACTTTTGGAATTTGTATTGTGATGTAGATTATCGGCTCGATGTGTTCGAAAGTTCCTTTGATCAGCGAAGCTGTCATGAAAGCCACTGATTGTGGTAATGAGCTCTCCTTGTGTATATATACCACTTGTGAAATCCATATATTTATTAATTTATTTGAGCTCAAACTGCAGCTTACCAGAACTGAAATTGAGTTCATCTGTTCTTAAACGATCCTATAGAACAATCTAGATCTTCCAATGCCTCCTCTACCACGTGTTCCTTTACTCTTTACAAATGCATCATTTAGATTCTTCTGGTACTGCAGATTCATTCAATTTGCTCGTCAACAACGGCGCAGCTGCAGGCCAAGTCGTCTACCATGTAAGTTCATTGTTACATCCTTAGTTTCCAAGTTCTTCGTCCTCCAATGTACCCATCGCCATACATCTCTACTGAACTAACTTGCTTCTGCTGGAAAGTTCAGACACACATTCACATAATTCCACGCAAAGCTCACGACTGCTTGTGGACTTCCGAGGTATGCCTGCGCTGCCATTTTCGATAATCTCTGCAGCTAAATGAATTCTCTGCTCTTCCCTAAGCTCTCGCCGTTTGGTACAGTCGATCCGGAGGCTGCCTTTGAAGATAGACGAAGAAGGTTTGCAGATCGCGAAGCGGATACGACAGAATCTTCCGCTTGGCAATGGCTGTGAGGATAGCAAAACGCTCATCTAAAGGTTAGTCTGCATTATACTCCAACTTTTTATCATGTTTTTTTTAATCAATTTTGATTTCATGATTTCATGATTTTTTGTTTTCTGTTTTTTGTTTGTTTGTTTGTTTTTTTTTTTTTTTTGTGTCTAATTCTATGGAATTGTTGATTATGGAATGGGAATAAAACTGTATTATACATAATATGTATACGTATAAATATACATATTATATGTGGGGGACAGAGGGATATATTTACTTTTTAGACAGAGACTCGCATGGGGCATATATATATATATATTTGATTATATATATAATTTGAATTGAAATAATTGTTTGATGTGATATAAATATGTGTTGATGGGATGTTTGAATGTAAATTGGATTTTAGTGTAGAAAAATCAGATGTAAAATTTGACAAGTAAAACTAATAGGCTTCAGCAATAATAATAATAATAGTAATAATAAATTCAATCTATGAAAACCAATCAATCATAAGAAAATAGAATAATAAATGGTATAAAGGAATTATACAAAAATATTTACTCATTAATTTCCTCACTAATTACCACTAATCTCTCCTCTATTCCTTTGGGCCACACTATCCAAGCCCAGAAATCTTCCTACTATTTGGGCCATAGAAATCCATTAACCCACCAGGCCCAATAAAATCAAATTTTCCAAGTTCTTTACGGCATGTCTCCAAGCTACATATCAGTTGTCTCCTCGAGTCAAGTCCAACAACACTCAAAATAAGTTTAAATTTATTTTTTTTAATTAAAATATTTTCCGTCCAACTAAAAAATATACATATTTGTGTTGTGGAATGTTCAATTACAAAGTAAATATTTTATTAAATACTTCGTTTTCTCCACAAATACCCTTATTTTTAAATACATCGTTACTTTTACACAAAAAGCAATAACAAAAATATCATTATACTACTTTTAACTGTTCAATATAATTAAAATATTATTATTTATTAAGCACGGTGTAAAAAATAAATGTTTACTTTGTACATGAACGGTGGAAATATGTTATATTATATCACATATTTTTTTATTATTCAGCAGTAAAATATATTTTTTCAATTGTAACTCCAATTTACAAAAAAACATGGCTTTACATACTTATATTCAACATATTATATTAAAATTAAAATATTATAAGAAAAAAGATACTAGCATCAAATATTAAATCCACATTTATTATGAATATTAATAAATCATAAAAATTAAAAATTAAATTTAGATATATTCTTACACTTCAAGTACTATTATTATATTTATAATTATTTGTATTGAATTTTCAACTATATCATTCTAAATTCAATTAATTGCAATGAATGAGGAATTTTGTTATTATTGTTTCATGAAATAATAAAAAAAAAAAAAATTATTAAATAAGATTAGAAAATTTTATATTATTAATACTACTCCATTCGTTACAAACGCCTAACAATATTTTCTTTTTATATGTCTCAAATATCATACAATATTTTTTTGTATGTCCAAATACTTTGTAATATTTTCAAAGTAAAAAATAATTAATTATACTTAATCTTTACTTCATACTTTATCTCATGGCATTAATTAAATAAAAAATAAGATAAATATATATATATTTCTGTCTTTTTCACGTCACCTAAATTTTAAATTATCCTATTTGATATCACTTACCTAGAATTTGATACATAACACTTACCTAGAATTTAGTACAGAAATCATATATTGCATCTTGTTTGTTTGAAACGAATGGAGCATAACACTACTACGAGATCACTAAAATTTAAAAGGACATACACACTAATAGTGAAATTAGATGAATAAGGTCAGTATATATGATGCAAATAAAACTATAACTATCACAAAAACAAGAATTTTAAAATAAAATAGTTATACATGTATATATATATATATATGTATATTTCAAATAAAATTATATGAAAAATCAATAATAAATAAAACTAATAAAATCTCAAAATTAGAATTTAGAAATTAAGAACAACCACTACACATCATTCTCAAATATATACATATACATCTTATATATTATTCATATATAAACTTACATAAATTTATTTTATAAGCAGATAATTTATTATTGAGTTGTTCTTTTACTTGTTATTCTTCAATAATGTTTTGTGCATATGTATTTCAATAATTCAATCTATTTTTGATGTAATTCAATATATATATGTTCGTCGTTAATAACACGATTTTGAAATAAATTCAATTTTTGTAACAATATTGTTAAAATTGGTGTGCTTTTGTCGTTTTCTTTCCCCGATACTTTCTTTTTCTATCGTTATATAACTAAATATTTTGAAATAAATTCCATTTGATAACGATATTGTTAAAACCGAAAATTTTGTCGTTTTTTATCGATGTTTTTTTCTTACTATAAATTTTAAGTTTGAATTCATCAATTTTTATTTTTTATTTTTGAACAAGATGTGAACAATTACCCATTAAAAGCAAGTTCGAGAAATATTTAGTTAAACACTTAAATTTACAGAGACACGTTATTACAAAAGTAATGTATTAATTATTAAAGAATAAAGTACATTAAATCTCCAGAGTTTTATTACATTAATTACATGTATCTATCTTGAGGTAATTATTTATAGTTTATATTGTCCAATTATGGGATATAGTATAAGATTAAATAATCACCTTAAATAAACGTTAAATAATATTCCCTCCGTCCAACTAAAAAGTATATATATTTCCACAAATATCTTTACTTTACATGCAAAAATATCGTTACACTATTTTTAACAACTCAAATATAAATGTTTATTTTTGTGTGTAGCCAAAGGGAGTACAATAAATCTACCCGGGAATGAGAAAAATTAAATAAAATATGTAGATTTAAATAATTACATGTTTCTTGTAAATAACATTTTACGTTATTTTATTGCTTTTATTTGTTCAGATAATATCAATCTCAAATAATATTGTGACATGTGAAGTAAGAATTTGTGTTATCTGTTTATTTTTAAATTTTTGCTTTAAAAAATATGTAGATTTCTATAAAAATATGTTTGATATTTTTTTATTTTATTTTATTTTTATAGATTTATATCATGCACTTTTATATAATGTGCTTTATATCTGGCACTTTTATATAATGTGCTTTATAAAATATATATAGTGCTATATAAAAACATATTTAGTGTTTTATAGAAGTATGTTTGATGTTTTATATTTATCAACTAGCATAAATTCTAAGAGTTTATGAAATACCAATTGACTATTTTTTATATAAACAATAAATTTAATATGATATTTTATATAATAATAATAATAATACCTCCCAATTTTCAATTTAATTGGCAGTGTATATTCCAATATATAATTCAAATGGTATAATTATAATAGTGTTTGTATTAATTTGCATTTATTTTTATTTGTAAATTTTTTTATAAATTATATTGAGAAATATATAAAAAGTTATGTATAAAGTAAATAAAGTTGATAACATTTTGAAATCTCTCACGTATATATATATATAGTAACAAACAGATTGAAATGAAAAAAGTATGGCTACTTTTCCATAAAAAACGTATATATGTAAAATGTTGAAATAAAAAAAAAATGAAAAAAGAAAAAATTGATTATTTAATTTGATGTAAAAAAAATATCATTATAAAAAAATAGCAATAAAATTTTCAAAATAGCTATATAAACAAAATCTATGGATTTATTTGATTTTTTTATTTTAATTTGACGTTTCAATTTAAAATTTACAGTATTTTAATATAATATTTTATGAAAAAATATTTGTAATAAAATTATAGAAATTGAATAATAATAATAATAATAATAAAGAAACCACTATTTAGCTTTATAAACAGTAATTAAAAAAGGGATACAAAAATCTCAAAATAAATACGGCGGAAAGGCTGGATTAAAATGGGGTGGAGTCCGTGGCGAGTAAGCAGATATTTTGCTTTCTCCACGCCACCAATACATTTACTTCATTACCTGTCAATAGCAAATTCAACAATTTTCTGCATATCCACGCGCTTCCTACTCACTCATTTATAAAGGCAGGTATCATTGTCTGGCGTTTCATTTTCATCTTGTCCAAAAACCTCTCCAGCGGGAACTCCGCCTTCTAGATTGCAGTAAGGAGGTGAGTGATTCTCTCTGATGCGGAGCTTTTCATGAAAATCGGTGTGTTTTTACGTATCTGAAATGTACGTGTATGTGATTTTTTATGATTTTTTTGAACGTGTTTGTGTGTACATGTAGAGACGGCGACAACCAGCGTAGGTAGAGGGGAGAAGCGGAAAATGTCGCCATCGGAGGAGGCGGCGAGACAGGCGGAGGTGCTTAGGCAGGAAGGCAACATGTGCTTCAAAAAGGAGCAGTTTGGAGCCGCCATTGATGCTTATACTGAGGTAAAGCTTCTAGTGGTGTAGATAACTGATTGAATCATAATCTGCAGCAGTTGATTTTGCGAACTTGTTTTGGTTGTGAGATTTGGTGAGTTTTTGTAGGCCATTGCTTTGTGCCCTAACGTTCTTGTATATTGGACGAATCGAGCACTTTGCCACCGCAAGCGGAAGTATGTGGCTATCGTGATTCTTAATCATTTGTTTGTGATTGCGATTTCCATCAATTGATTTGGAATTTGTTTTTTCTGTTTGTAGTGATTGGGAAAAAATGGAGGAGGATTGTAGGATGGCAATTCAACTCGATCACAATTCTGTCAAGGTATTGTTTGCTATCAAATTTCCTGATAATACTTGTCATTGTTGGTTCAGTTATGGTTCTTGTTCATATGCACATTTTTCCCTTTGTTTTCCGGTTATTTTTGTTTGGATTCGACTTAATGTCTCCTCGGTGATCAACTTGTTTGTTAGTAAGACTGATACAAGGTATTTGAACATGACTACATTGATTGGAATTTGGAAAACCTTCCATCTGTGATGCCACATGGATGGTTGATTGTTTGGTAGTGTTCTTTTTAAAGAAACTAAAGATCGAATGTGTGCGCACGTGTGTGTGTTATTCAATGGGATGACGAACGGCTGAGGCTGCCTACGTAATCTCTGAGACTCTGACATGGACAAATAGTTAATAAGTTATGCGAAAAATAGGATAAGGTGAGATATTACACGACATATTTAATGTTCGCGCAATATGCGGTAATAAAGACTGTATTTTGTTTGTTTCCGTGACGTGTTAAGCTTACTAATGCTTATGTCGGGGAATTTTCGTGTCCTTTATCATAATTAGAAAGTGATGTTTAACTTTCTTGATCAAGCACACAACTTTAGTTAGAATGGCATTCATGTTTATTCCTATATGCTGTTGGTGAAGGATACTTTGATTGCATAATTGTGGTGAGATAACTTTATAATGTGATGCCTGAAACCTGAATCAGGACATGCTGTCATATCCGATTACTTAATCCTCGAGCTACTGTTTTCATTATGTATTCATCTTTAGAGAAACCCAAACCATCCTCTGGAAAGATGTTTATTTACTTAAACAATCTATAGAGGGTCCACTTTGATGCTTACAATGCTCATGGTTTGAATTGCAGGCACACTATATGCTCGGTCTTTCTCTCCTCCAAAGGGCGGAGTATGCAGAAGGCGTAAAGGAATTGGAAAAGGTTTGAATTTATATTGTGTTTGACAATGTTTTGAAACTATATTTAAGGAAGCAATATGTCTTACATGTGAGTGAAAACTCTGTTGGAGTGATATAGTTTCATTCTCTATTGTTAATGAATCTAAACATATTGTTCTGTTCTTTGGTTGATCATTTCTTCATGACATCCGGCCCCAAAATTAAGACATGGCCGCTGTTCTAGAAATGGTACCAAAACCAGACATTACACATACATCAATTTTGGTTCTTTTGCAGATGTATTTTTATAGATTATCTTATAATTGTATATAATATAGTTATAAGTTGGCAATGTGGGCAGTAGTACTTCTTGCTCAAATTCGATATATTGGATGAACTCTTATTCAATCTATATATATTTCTTATGTTTTTAAGTAAGTAACAACATGGTATTCCCAGATAGATGATGGATGGACATGTCCTCGATAATTCCTCTGTTTTTCAAACTTGACTGTTGTTTTCGGCATTGATCTTGTTTGTTGCTTATTATTCTCTGTTCAAATGTTTTTAGGCTATGGAACTCGGAAGATGCGCTACTCCAAATGGATATATGGTTGAAGAGATATGGCAAGAGCTTGCAAAAGCGAAGTATCTAAAATGGGAGCATGAATCAAAATTACGTTACGGGGAGATGAAACAGCTGAAGTAATTTTTTCTTTTTCATCTCTCTCTTATATGAGTTTTATGTACTCACAAAATATTGATGTCAATGGCTTTTGAAACAGAGAGGCCTGTGAAGCTGCACTCTATGAAAAAATCTTGATAAATTCTTCTCGAATGGAAGGATTTATCGATGAAACTGCTATCTCTACCTTAGATCAATTGAATGCTTTACGCCAGGTATTCAACAAAGTTGCAGAACCCGATATTCCAACAGAGGTAAACATCATCCTACCTGTGCCCTCTTATTTGTTCCTCTCTTCCAGATTCTTGTAACACGGGACGATTTTCAGGTCCCCGACTATCTGTGCTGTAGAATCACATTGGACATTTTCCGCGACCCTGTTGTCGCACCTAGTGGATTCACATATGAAAGAGCAGTGATCCTGGAGCATCTACACAAGGTAAATCTATCTTTACTTGTTTCCTTTTTCTCATAGGAAAGTTAGTGATTTTACTAGAAGATGTAGTTATATTTTTAGTTCTATAATTTAACCACTCTTTAGTTTTGGTCTTGACTAGTTTACTTTTAAACGGACTAAATATGTTGGATTTAAATTGATATAAATTGGATTTAGGCATAGTTGTTGTCAATAGTGCGCTATAGCGGTGTAGCATAGTGGAGAGCCACTGCCGCCATGGCCGCTCCACAATTTCGCGTTTACGCATAGCAGCGTAGCAGAGAGACACTGCCGCTATGGCTGCTCCGCAAGCGGCGTAGCGGCTTGTAGCGACACTCTGCTACGCTATGCTACACCGCTATTGTAGCTCATTAAGTTATTTTTTAACACGTAAATAATTGAGATTTAACTTTAACTTATAAAATATATATTTTTTTATTAAAATATAGATGAAAAAAACACAAATATTTATTTTAAATTTTAGATTCATTCAAACAAAAGAAACAAATTAGAAGATCAAAAGTTGCCAGATTTGATTTATATCAGTATTAACTAAAATTGTTGTTGATGCTATTAGAGCTAATGGGCTTGCTTTCTACACTAGGATGCAAACATCAATACATCAATGAAAAAGAAAGCTATAAGTACTTCTAGCTCTATAAAGGATAATGATATTATACATATAATAGAATAAATAAATGAGAATATATTATGTATTTTTGTTGCAAATTTGTATATATAAGAATTTATATATATATATATTCTTAAATATTTAAATAACAGTCGTACCGGTATCTTCTATAACATTTTAGATATTGACTGCTACGTGATGGACAATTATGGATGTAAATCATTTGAGTTGTGAGGTTAAAGTATATATATATATATGAGGTTTTCTAGTGTAGCTAAACAAGGCTAGCTATTTTACCCTAAGTTTATTCTTAGCTGTTTAGAGCAGTATCTACTTTGTTTCATATATGTGTTTTTAACGTAAACCTTTGCCCTTCATTAGGTCGGTAAATTTGATCCCATTACCCGTGAGACTCTCTATCCATCCCAGCTCATACCAAATTTTGCTATTAAAGAAGCCGTAAGAGCATATCTTGATTCGCACGGGTGGGCCTATAAATAAAAATCGATGTTACAGTCTCCTTGCCTTGTGCTGTATTTCTACAGCCGGAAAAACTCAGAATGCTTACAATCCTCTGAGCCATGCATGTTACAACTTCTTTAGACTCACAAGTAATTATTCCAATGCATAATTTAAACAGTTTGCCATGCATACAGTCTGATGCATTATAGACAATTAAAAGATTAATAAAACGAAACTCTATATTATGCATAGTCGAAACTTGCAGAGTTTTATTTGATGATGAAAGTGTTGTTTTTTACTCTTTGTTTCTCCATCAAGTGTTTGTGTTTTTGAAGTTTACATCGGCTTTAGACAACATTGGTCTAATGCTTATATTTTTCGGAACCAACAAAGAAAATTCCGATTATGGACCATCTTTTTAAACTGTTTTTTTTTCCTACTCTACATTTTCACATGAACCTTGAAATTGATTTGATGAACTTATGCTTGTGTTCCTTATTATCAGATAATCACATGATTTTATTATTGTTTTACTATTTCTTAAGAGTAGATTTATGTTTCCAAAATTGTTTTTTGAGTTTATCAAAATTTGTTTCTCTAGAAAGTATCACATAAAAAATTTATTTTATAAAATTTAAATGTGATTATTTTAGAGAAATTTTGATTAAAAGATACAAAAACAAAGTTGGAAACATAATAGACGAACTATAGTGTAGTGTTGCTTATTGTCTATCTTGGAGAGAAAATGGTGACACTATGCTGATTAGCCAAGAACTAGTAAGGTTATGTTCATGACCTTGATATCCACCCTATAGATAGTGGAGAAGATTTTGTGAACACTAATTTAAAATTTCACTCTACCCTGGTAGACATCATAATAGAGGCTAAAAATAAATATAGAGTACACTGCAGTTTTAACATAATTCACCTTTATGCAAGTAAAAACTATGAACATAATCCCCATAAGTCCAGAGTCACAATTCTGGACAATTAGGAGATCAATTCTAAATATAAACATTACATGTGTAGTATTTCATGCCATTTAAATGAAACCACTCAAAAGTCTAGGAAATGTAACAAGTCTATTATTTGTGTGTGTGTGTGTGTGTGTACAAACCTATGATATGATGAATGGAAGAAATTTTAGAAGCCAAAAGTCATTCTGACACATTAAGAAAAAAAGGACTAAGAATTCAACACTAGTTTCTTTATGGCACGCACACTTTGTAGGGACCTTAAAAAAAAACACAGAAACACAATAACATCATCCAACATGGCCACTATGTGAATAGTGAATAACACCTCGTCCTAGCCATGTGGAATGTCACAATTTTCATCCATAATAATAAAGCACTTGGGCCAAAACAACCATTAAATGCTCATAGTGAAAATTCAAGCATCCTACTAACAGAACCATGTGCTGAAATTATTATGCAACATGAGCTACCAATTATTTTTGGTTAAACCATAAAAGCATAAGAACTAATCTTATATCATATATGTATATGTATGTATGCATGTATCAAATTTGAGTCTAGATTAGCACATAAAGCCCCCATAGTTTTCAATTGTCATACTGCATTAAACTATTAGGTTATTTACCAAATAATTGACTCTGTCGTGATAGTGGAGTATTGGAAAGAAACTACATTTCAGGGCAACCTTAGAAAGCCATCAATTATGATAAGAAACAAAATAGCAATCATAGGAGAAGGGATAAGCATAGACAAACATAACGACCCGATGCTAGTTAGCGAACAAGAACAGGGGCACGGGCAATCATAGAAAGCAAGCAGGAAGCTACATCGACAAAATGACAGGCAGTGGCAAAACCAATTATACAGAGCATAATGCAGTCTACTCAAAACCATGTGCATCAATTATTGAACAATATTCAAGAGAAACTTTGCCCGCAAAGTTTCCCGTCAATATTATTTACAAGAATATACTAAGATCAAACCTCATGCTTGGATCTTGAATATGCACAAGAAAGATTGGAAATCACTTACCAAATATGCATACAACCTCAACATATGCGTAACACGGGTTGGTGTAGAATTTACAGAATATGTGCTCGATCATCATCTTCATCATCAAGCGGTATGCGTAAGATTGATAGGCCTATTGATCCTCTCTAGAATGCCACTAGCTTTTCTCTTGGCCCGAGAAGTTCCATGTTGCATGAGCTGAGATATCGTCTGATGAGCGCTTTCCTCTTCTCTCATCTCTTTCCACTTTGATCTATCGTTGAAACAGATAGTATGGAGGATTGCAATGCAATTCTCCTTGTTTCGATGACATGAGGTTTCCCGGATTATACTGAACAAGCAAGGAACCGCCCCAAGCTCTCCCATGTCCTCGACTGCCCTTTGGCAGGTCGAGAGCATGGCAAGGATGGAAAGAAGCTCGTCTACATAATTTCTAGAAATGATATTTTTCAAGACCACTTGAACTGCACCATCTCTAACCGCTCGGGCTTTGTTCTCCTGGTGGATGCATAGGTTAAAAATTGCTGAAGCAGCATCCTTCGTTGCTAAAGCATGCCCTTCGTCCAACAGGTCGATTAGGGGCTTCAAGGCACCGGATTTTCCAATCAGTGCCTTGTTTGAATCGAGAGCCGACAGGGTAAACAGGGCTGCAGCTGCATTGCTCCTAGTGTCAATTGTTCCAGATCGTAATGCTTCAATGAGAAGAGGGATGACCATAGGAGTTTCAGCGACGAGCTTCTTGTTACTATCATGTATGGAGAGGTTCAAGAGTGTCGTAATTATATCTTCTTGGAGGTCAGGATGAAGCTCAGTGTGGCTTCGAGTGAGGGGAGACAATAGCAGAGGTATGGCTTCAGGGGATTCTCCGAATAGAGCTCGAAACGAAGGCATTTTTTTGGTCAGCAGACGTAACTCTTTTGCCGCGCCTTTTTGATCAGGCAGTGTAGAAGACATTCTCTTGAGCAGAGAATGGAAATGGTTCCTATCAGCTTCGGTTAAGCCGTCTTCGTCTGTGTACTGAACAGATTCAGGTAGTTTGATCCCATGATTCTTGCACCATTGTGATATCATTTCCCGGATAAGGTGGTTCGGCGTGAGGATGGTGTGCGATATCACTTGTTGAGTTTCAGGGCACGTCCGATTCCCGGCTTTCAACCACTTCTGGATGAACGGCCTATCGAAAGTCTGCAGAATTCACAATTGATGAATGCCAAAAGATATCCCTAATCCCTATCCAATTCTCAACCTTATTCAATCAAACAAGAAGTAACAATCCCACTAGTTCGACAAGAAACTGAATGCCTCAGATCAAGAAGGAAAATTAAGGATGAACAGGAAAGGCCTTCATCAAATCACATGATTTGCACTGCAAATTCAATCAAGTTGGGATCCAGCAAGAGATAGAACATGCATACTAACACAATGATCAGTAGATCTCCAGTATAAACACTATAATATATATATAGTCCAGAAGAAGCTGCCAGAGAACTAAAAAAATGATTCAGGAATTCTCATACACTAAGCTACAAGTGAAAGACACAGATTAGCAGACGAAAACGATGCAAATTATAGGAGGAATTACTGAAAGGAGAATAAACCTAACCTTTCCAGAGGCTATAATCACAGGATCTCTCATGAGCTGCTTGGAGAGCGGACACTTGAACTCCTCAGGAACAGCTCCAGAGACCAATTCAGGATCATTACGAAGCTTCAACGACACCGATTTCTTCAATTTGAAGTCCTTCAAGGCACAGACGAGTCTGAGAGCTCGATCGATCGCCTCCAGGTTAACATCGTCGTCCTCGGCGATAGTCTTCGCCAGTCTCTGCAATTCCTTCTTCAATTCCATGGCCTTGGCCGCCACTGCCGCCGGATCCCCTTCGAACACGCCGCTCTTGGCCATCGATGAAAATAAGTAAACAAAACAAAAACTATAACCACTCTTCTCCCCCGAAGCACACAAAAAAACCCTAAATCTGTGAATTAAAGCAGAAATCAGGCTTTATGTTTAGGGTAGCATTTTAATTTGCAGATGAGGGTGGGGGTGGATGGATCGGAGAATGGTGAATGGAGGAGGGGGAGTGGTGGATTTGAGTGTGGAAAGATGAGAGAGGAGAGGAGAGGAGAGGAGAGAAAAGGGGAGAGAGAGTGACACGCAATGGCCATACAGCTGGCAGCCCACGCGGAAAGAGGAATTTCAAGGGCTTCACCGTCATCACCGTCTCCATCTATGGCCATGCCTATACTGCTCTACACATACATCCATACGACATTGGGGTGGCACGGGATCAGCAGCTCTCTGCTGGCCAAGCACTACTCCAGTTCCTCCTAATGCGGAATTAACCGGATCAAATACATATTATATATAATAAAATATAATTCCTCGTCCTAATTTAATAATTTTATTTATTATTTTCTTGTTCGTTCCAAAATAATAGTCTTATTTTTATAAATAATCATATCATTATATAATTACCCTTATTTTTTTATTATCTTTTATACTAATACACTCACAAAGGTAAAAATATTTTTAACTATACCTTTTATCCATTATTAATATAATATCAATATTCTTTAAATTTCGCGTATAACACAATCAAGACTATAGTTTCGACGGAAGGAGTATATTCTATTATGTAATAAAATATGTTAATCATTCATATAATAAATTTTTATTCGATCATATTAGCGTCATGCTGATTTGATAGGATCAGGACAAGATTACGACTATTATATATATACACGGTACATTAGATGGGATTTTAGGTCTCCCTTCTGCGTCTTTTAAATAAAATGATATGAACATATATTATGTGTATGTATATGTGATATACAATTCTTTCTCCGTTCGGGTTCAAATAGGCATTTTGGAGTTTTGTAATAGATTAATAAATAATAATATTTTATTAATTTAGTTGGAGTATGTAAGAAGTTTTGATATTTTTGTCATATAAAAAATAATTATATGTGATGATATTATTGTAATTTAGGTACAATCTAAGGATATTTTAATATTGATAAATAATTACTTTTACTAAAAAATAAAAAATAAAAAAAAATTGAAGTGAGACAAATAAAAATAATAAAAAAAAATACTTTGAGTTGAGACGAATAAAATATATATATTTATATATTGATTATATATACACAATGTGTATTCAAGGGGACATATGGAAGAGCTGGGCAACAAGAGGATGGTGATCCATCGTCATTGTATATATGTTTCTATTTTAGTTAATTGACATCATATTTAGTAATTAAAATTTTAAATTTATTTAGTAGAGAATACTTTATCTATCTCAACTAATATGTTCATTTTAATTTAAGCATTAAATTTTAAGTATTGTGTAATTATTAAGTAAGTAAGTAAAAAGTTTATTAGTGAAAATAATTATGATTTAATAAAAATAAGTATTGATTAAGATAACTAATAATTTAATTTAAATATAAAAAATTATAAATTGTAAAATATAATTAAAATGTATAATTATATTTATAAAAAATAAAAAAATAAATTCAGTGGAACAAATAGAAATATAAATAGTACAAATTAAGTCGGACGGAAAAATGACAAATGATATATATATAAGACACATTATTTTTAACAACAATCATATATTGCATATATCATTACAATATATTGATTAAACTTAATCAGTGCGATGCTAAATAGCCCTGTGACCAATCCCCGAAAATATGATCATCATTGAATAATATACTATCACAGTCTCATTTTATGCTTGCACATAGACTACAGTAAATTAAAAAATAATATTATTTGACGTATAAAAGTAATTATATTAAATAGAAGAAAATTTTATTCTTATTAAAAATACAATATATTTGTAACGAACAAACTGAGTATTGAATTTGTTCACTTAGCTTTAAATAATTTTTTATAAATATTATTGAAAAGATATAATATACACATTAATACAATATAAATATAATATTTATTTTATCAGCTAAAATTAATAATTAAATACAAAATATTATTTTTTATATCACCAATTCAATTTATCGCATCTAATATAAATAAAGTACATCTAAAATTACAGAGTGAACATACAATTATTCTTTTAATCTCTAGTGTATATCAATATATGAGTTTTGCACAGTGTGTTGTACTCCCTCCGTTCTAAAGACCGTACAACATTTAGGTGATGAGTATTAAGTACGATAATTTGAGATAATTTGATATTAATTGATGTGATTTGAGAGAGAAATTATTATTTGATTTTTTTTATTTGAGTGATTTGATGGGATAAACTAAAATGTATATTAATATATATATATATAAATATATTAATTATTTCTAAATTTGAAAATGTTGCAATAACTTTGTGACAAACAAAAAATGAAATGTTGCACTATATTTAGGGCGGATGAAATATTTTATTATTGCTTTTATCAATTGATATATTCGGTAAATGTATACATCACATAGAGCATTATTTTCTACTTAAAATAAAAAATAATGCTCAACGGACTAACAATATAGTTCAATGGTAATTTGGATAAGATTGAAAAATCCTATCAAATATGTAAAAGGTTAGGAAATTGGATAACCTATTTTTAAGAGTGTTTACATAATTAGTAAAGTGAATCTTGTCCGTTGGATTGGCCTGTCTTACTTTAAATGAGAGTTAGACTGAGTAATTTTAATCTTGATATTTGGATACTCTTTTATTTTAAAAATAGTAAAACTTAGACTACGTTTACTTCACCTTTTTTAAATATTCATTTATTTCGCTCGTAATTTTATAAATATTAGTATTATATTAGGATATAGTATGAATAAAATATAAATGAATAAAATAATCTTATTAGTATGTGTAATATAAAGGTAATGGCATATGTGTAATATATTGTAAGTTGTAAAAGTATTTGCAATGTTAGATAGATGGTACAGTTACTAAAAAAAATTGATAGGACAGACTAAAATGGAAAAATGGATACTTTATTATGAGATGGAGGGAATATTAATTTTGTTTATGTATCATATACACAACTTGCTTTTATTTAAGAGGTTATATTTAATAATAATTCTGTGCTAAGTAATACTTACTTCGTCTCATATATTGTGGGTCTATCTCCGTAGATACGAGAATTTAGGTAAAATATAATTAGTATATAATTAAGAAATATATTAGTAAAAATAATTATAAATTAAGATTAAGTAAATAGTTTAAAAGAATTATAAAATTTAAAATATAATTAAAGTAAATAATTATATTTTAAAAAAAAAATTATACAGAACAGATAAAAATTAAAAATAAAAACAAATTATGTCGAATGAAGTATAATTAGTATATAATTAAGAAATATATTAATAAAAATAATTATAAATTAAGATAAAATAAATAGTTTAAAAGAATTATAAAATTTAAAATATAATTAAAATAAATAATTATATTTTTTTAAAAAAATTATACAAAACAGATAAAAATTAAAAATAGAAACAAATTATGTTGGATGAGGAGAGTAACACTGCAAGTAAATCCTCAGTAAGATTATGAGTAAAAAATGACTGTCCACTAATATTAGGAGTTTGTTCCCGTGAAATTTTAAAATAATAAGAATAATGGAATGTAAATATTTTAAAATAATGATAATAATAATAAAAAAAAAAAAACATCGTCAGCTCATATGGGCGGGAAACGGAGAGAGAAGAGAGGGTGGGTGGGTGTCGGCATTGTACTGCACCAATAATTGTGAAGTTTAATTAATTATTAATAAATTAATTAATGGATGAGTGAAGTGAAGTGAGTGAGGTGGCACCTGTCTTGTCTATTTGGACGGCCACGATCCCATCACGGAGAATGACGTGTCAGCTCCACGTTTGTCGTTGGTTACAGGACAAAACACCGCCAGATGTACAATCTGTGTCATCTGCCCTCCCTAGGGGAACACCAACCCTCCCTATTCAATACATCATTTAAGCCCTTTCTTTTTATTTATTTATTTTTTAAAAAACAATAATTTATTTAAGTTTTAAAAATATTACTCGTACTTAAATCATTATTTATTTTTATTTATGACAAAAATATAAAAGAAAGTAGGAGATGGTGCGAGTTCCGAAATATATTAATATTAGTACACCTTCTGTTCTAAATAAGATAGACGTATTATGCATATACGAAAATTTAGGTAAAATATAATTAGTAGATAATTAAAAAAATGTATTAATAAAAATAGTAAAAATAATTATATATTAAGATTAAAATAATAAATTATTTTAATTAAAATTAAAAAAAATTAAATTTAAATTTTAAAATATGATTAAAGTGTATAATCAATTGTTTTAAAAAAAAAAAGACAAATGACGTGCAACGAACGAAAATAAAAAATAGGGATAAATTATGTGAGATAGAGGGAATATAAAATAAAATGGTTTAACTTTATAAACACTTGATAAATCAAGATAATTTCCATTTAAAAAATAAAATAAAATAAAATGATACATGTTTAAATTACAAACCTGTGGTTGGTAAATATCTATTTATTTTTGCAAGTAGTTTTTAAAATACTTTTGTGTGTGTTAATATCATTTTGTTATGTGTAATTTATTGCAATAGTATTTATATAAATCATTGTAAATTAGTTTACATTTATTTAAAATAAAAAATTAATTTTTATTAGTGTTGTGTTAATTAATCATGATTAACACATAAGTAACACATAAATAAAAAATAGCATATATAAAAATAAATAAATAAATAGTATATATTGTATGGATTATTATTATTATTATTATTATTATTATGAACTATCAAATTATATTTTAATAACATTTTACTCAATAAATCTTAAAAATATCTTTAACTAGTAAAATACTAGTACTAATATATATATATATATTTGTATAAAAACAATAATAATAACTTAAATGCATACATTGTGGATGAATTTAGTATTAATAATAATTAAATAATGTCTCGTTCAAGAAACTAACGTGGATCTAACGCATGTTTGAAATAAGGATGAAATATACTCTTTTCCTTTATCCGGATGAACTATTTTATTAGAGATATTGTTTTTCAGATAATATAGATTAGTAAGTTATTAATAATAAGTTATGATATTAATTTATTATTTTTTATATGAATAATATTGTTGATATTTTTAAATTTTTTATAATTATATCTTGAAAAAATATATGCAATATAGTTATCATTTTATAAATAATAAAATTTTATATAATACAGATAAAAAAGAAATAGTTTTATAAACAATGAAAAATTTTAAAAATAGATAAAAAATTATGTTAATTGAGGAAATATAAAAATAAAAGAATTTTGAGTGTGTGC